TGAAGTGTGCAATCTGCATGTTACAGTTTGAGCCAAGTGATACGGAGGCCACCCTCAAACAGACATAACCACACGCGCATATAATCACAAATACACATGTCCTTGCTACGCCTCGCCACACCACGTCAAAACACAGTGTACCAGATCACGCCACGCCACGCCACGCCACGCCACGCCACAACACGCCACCACACAACACGCCACTTCACAGCACAACATGCCACCACACAACACACCACAACGCAACACAACACAACCCACGTCACAATACAACACATCACAACAACGCGACAACACAACCAAGCTCACGCCACGCCACGCCACGCCACGCCACGCCACGCCACGCCACGCAAGAAGCGAACGTCATCAGTAATTATCCAATTCGTGATAATCCACTAGAACACACTTTTAATGTCTTTCTTTGCATCGCATCAAACTATGCTCCTATTATCTATGTCTCGACCTCGTCACGCCACCCTGGCCTCACAACGAGACACGAGGCAGTACATCATATTACCTATAGAATGAAGTATCTTGTACACCTGATGTAGGGAGGAGGAAAGGTAACTTAGATTGTTGGCTCTACCAGAGGTTTTCATATTAGAGACAACAGAAATGCACATGTCAGCAGCACATTAAAACTCGTAGAGAGATAAATATCAGTGGCACAGCTAGGCGAAGTTTAAGCAAAACCAATTTTACGAGCGCCCGCAAGCTCCCCCAGACGTTTTAAAAACTAAGATGCTCTTAAACGCTATTTTGTGCATTTTTGGACCGTTTATGTTAGATTGTATTCGTAACAATTTTGGTAATTTATTTATTATAAATGTTTATTAGTAATATATACCAACTCATTTTCGACTTTCATTCAAGAAACATCTATGATGACAAGAAAATGAAATTTGAACATTTAAAGGAATCGAACATATTACCTTCATGGGTTTCTACAAGTTTCTACAAATTTTTCATTTTTTAACGCGAGCCGTTCAAGTTAGACAATAAATAGCATGTTCGCCCATGCAGAGTTTGAATTAATAATTTTCTGCATCGATCGAAAATTTAGTTCGCTGTGTTGCCTCGTGATAACCTCTATGGTGACACTTTAGGCTTTGTTCACACATTCTGATGGTAAATAAGTTTTCAAAGCAGAGTTAACCCCACTCACTCACTCACTCACTCACTCACTCACGCACTCACGCACTCACTCACTCACTCACTCACTCACTCACTCACTCACTCACTGCGGCCATCTGTTAAATCTGTTAAGTATCAACGGTCCAAAAACTACCCCATATATAATCAGTTTTTTCCCCGTATTACGAATCTTGTGTTACCCGAAGGTAGTCTTTGAAGAAGAACCCAGAATAATGGAAGCAAAACAAAGAACACATACGATCAAAATTTCGTTTTGTGATGGAAATGTGTTGTTCTTGTTAACCTCGGCACATAATGTCAGTGTTGTTGTGAAAAGTGAGAACAGCGAAGACAGACGTAGTGTTTGTCTTCAGTGCTGTTAGGGAGAGAAGTGAAGAAAGCTATATAGCTGTTAACGTGACGAGACAGCCCTACTGATGACATACATAGGTGCCTCCTCCAACCCAGCTGACAAAGAAGTTCACTGGATTGCGAGTAACGTTGTAGTGTATTGTCTATGCATGTACTTCTCTATAGCTCATTTGAGTATGGATGGCGAGTGTTCTGAGTGTCGCAATTTGCTGTGCATGGCTGTGTCTCTTAGGAACACCAGTAACCTGGGGTCGAGTCCCAGATCGCCTGATTATGCTTCTATGCATGTCAGCACCAACCCGTACTCGTTGGTTACATCAAAATTGTAAACGTCTAAGGCCTTAATATATCACTTCGGGTAAGCTAAGTAATTAAAACTGTGTTAAACAAAACTTACTCACTAAAAGTGAGTGTAAACACTGTCTGAGAGATGTTTCTGTTACACATCTGCGAAGTCAAATCATCATAGGGGTCACGGGTGGCCCAGTCGTGCAAGGCGCCGCGATTCGCTGTGCAGAGTTGCGTCCCTTGGGCACGTGGGTGAGTGAATGATGTTTCGTGACGCATTCTGCAATAACAGATATAACTGCATACATAAAAGTCTTTGTCAATCAAGCAAGGGTCCAAAGAGTAATAATCTCTGCTGTCCCGGCCAATGAAACACAATCATCCAAGGGCGGCATTATATCTGAAAAAAATAAATCTTGACAAAACTGTTTGTTTTCCTTTTGTTTAACCTTTCCTTCCTTGAACCAGCCTATAGTCATATGTCTTTCCGAAATGCATCGGTTGATAGATGCCTGGTGAGAATTTAAAAACAAACTTGTATATAGAGTAAGGTGCATTTTTCAAATCATGAAGTTTCTTCTGCAATGAAACTTAGTTTTAAACGTATTTGCTATATTTACCGTGGTACCATATTACCATATGTTATCCTCGTCTTGCTCTAAGGCTCCACTGAGGGACACGCCACGTTATTAAGCTTTACAAAATGCAATCTGGTTATTATATATTGATATAGTGAAATCCTGTAGGAACCTGTTATTTTTATCTATGATTTATATAATAATTTCAGAAGAGACTTGTGCAAGTATATCTGTTACCTTTGATCTATTGAGCGTCACGGCTCTCTATTCCGTTTCAAGTGATAATGTTACACGTCCAGAACCAGTCACATGCACACTGTTCAAGGAAATATCGTTAACAGCATAAAGGCCATATTACCATTGTTTGGATCCGGGTGGCTATACTCGCACAGATCTATTGTCCATTGTTTCATCTACTGAATAACAACTAAAATGAGTTCGTGTTGTGTAGTTTGTACATAGATGTTGATCGATTCCGCAAATTGAGTCCATTAGCACATGCGTGCTTAATGTGTACGTGGATATCAGTGTCCATATTGTTCTCACCTTAATAGCTACATATATAGACATTTATTCATCTCATATTGTCGAGATGTATCGTCTATTTCTGTACAGTCCCTGCATGTAACAGTACTGGCCTATATAAACGTGGTGTGGAGTTGATAGCCTTGTTGATAAAGCGGTGGCCCGTCACGACCATGCCAAAGGTTTGATTCCCCTTTTTGTACAATGTGTGAAGACAAATTTCTCGTGTTCCGCCGCAGTACGGCATTAATATTGCAAGACGCAGTTTAAAATCCAACTACCTGACTAACTAGATTAAATCTTGATAGAATAAATTCAATTGATAGTTTGACGTTCTTACGTTTTAAATGGGTGTACTTTATGTACGTCCTGGTAGCCTATTACAACCTTGCGCATGTGTGCATTTGGCATGGAATGAATAGCAATTCGTTCATCGATATTGACAGTTTTATGATAATCTCGAATTGAAAGATGTTGTGACCATTACAGACAAGGTGAACGTAAACGTAGGCGTGCAACCACATGCAAAACAACGTAAAAACATATCAATTCTTTTTTTTTATTTATATCAGAACCAACCTATTTGCAATGTTATACAGTCAAACACCCTTGTGTCGAAGTTGAAGGGACCTACGTAATTTCTTCGAGTTATCCAAGGTTCGACACAACCGAAAATAATGAATAAATGAGTACGCAGGGACCAAACTTTTACTTCGAGACAACCGTAAGTTTGTCACACCAAAGATCGACACAACGGTGTATATAGGTTTCTTAGGTTATATTGTACATTCATGATGCTATACATAAGTGTTTATCTTATCAGATATTTGCGCTTACATTACGTGACGATATAATCGTACTCACAGCTACCTGCTTGCTACCGGATCCCATGCAGTGGTTCATCCCCACGTGGCGAACACATGATATATCTCAATCTGTACCTTGGCACTTTATCGTTACGATTATCATAAATATATGTCATGTTTACCTATAGATGCATTAGTGAATATCAGTTACATAGTTACATACCATTAATCAATGACGGGGCAACACGTACCTAGCAATAGCACGTGCCCATTGTGATCAATGTGAAATTAGTGTTGAATACAATCTTTAGTGAATGAAATGAATGAACTTGCCTGTATTTAATTTTTGTAAAAATGATATGGAAATGTATTACATCAGAAACATAAATGAGAATGTTCAAGAATATGTACAAAGACATTCATTTCTGTCACTATTAATACGATTGATTTTAATATAGCTGTCTTTGACAAAATGTTAATATATATAGATAGATAAAGTAAACCAACCTTTCTCTTTTGGTTGCCCATTGGTCTAAGCGAAGCAATTCGATAAACAGAGTTGCATCCCTTTGTTATGCCAGGATCCGGGTCGTGGATTCGACCTGATTATGATTCTGTGTCAGTCAGCACTATACCCTGTCCTTCTAGATTGAAACAAAGTGGTATAAAAGTCTACCATCTCACTTGAGGGTTTTATTACACATTAAGCTGATACGATATAATTGATATGCTGTTGTGAGCGGCATTAAACCAAACTCACTCATGTAATCACTTCAAACCGCAATGTGTGTCCAATAAACATAAGTAAATGAAAGATATAAAAACCCTTTCCATATTCATAAGAAATCTCTGCAGTTAAAAGCTGAGTACATTGTATATCCGGACTATATCATAAGCATGTGTTTATGTTCAAGACACATGTTCCAAGGCTACATCTTGGCTTCCTCGTCAGATGAATAACACTGTTGTGTTGAAACATGTAGACTTTGTCTATCAAGACTTTATGCCAAAGTAGTTCACAACTTATGACCTAACGCCACCGTTATTACATTCATTATCAACATACATTAGGTTTTAATGATGGTTTAAATCAATTCTCATGGCAGTTTAGAGCAGATGTAATACTGCTTCAAGAAATGGTTGTTACAGAAACGATAGCTACTTTTGAAAAATACAAGACTCTGTTATTGTTCACTGCACATAAGTAGGAATAGATTGATGTTTATGGGGCACCGTATATGCTATCTACCATCAGACACATGCTGATTGCATATATAGAACTGTTTTATGTCCCCAGCTATCGGCGAGCCGGAAACGACAGTATCTGTGCTTCTGGATGAAGAGGAATCGGTGCTAGAATTTGTTGACAACGCCTTGGTGAGTACTTTTCATTATTTTAATCAAGGTGCTCACGTGATTTGATGCACTTCGCGATGTAAGACTTGTTCGATCACGATATAGATCTTGATTATCGATATCGATATTGACTGGGCGCCATCGTTTTGTTTGAAGCAAATACAAGTGATACGAGAGTTTGAATCTGATTGGTCAATGGGAGAGGCATACTAAGGACATAACTCGTAGTAGCCACTGATGGCGCTACGATCGAGCCATGGAATTCCAGCCTAGTTCGGCAAGGGTGGAAACTGGACTTTTAAAGTCAGTTAACTCTCTTGCCTCGGGAAGATGATGAATTCGTGGCGATGTGGTCATTACACACCCCTTATTACTTCAGATGCATTATCTCAATAAGTGAGTGAGTGTGTTGGGTTTAGCGCCGCTTTTAACAGTTTTCCAGTTATATCGCGGCGTGTCAGCTTAATGTGGAAGGAAAGCCCGATGTGATGCATGTCTCAGACGTTTACCACTTCGGTGAAACCCTAGGGCACAGGTATGGTGTTGACAAACCTAGAAACATAATCGGGGCGAACAGGGATTCGACCCCACAATCATAGGTTTCTGGCGTGCCCACGGGACGCAACTCTGCACAGCGAATCGCGGCGCCTTAGACAAATGGCCATCCGTGCCGCCTTATCTCAATAATTGTTTTTTGTTCTAACATGCATATTGTACGTATATATGCATTATCTGCATACATTTCTTCTTTTTGTTGTTGTCGTTGTTGTTTACCGCAGCACACAGCAATATTGTACCTAGCTACATGTATATAACGGCTTTCAGTAAATAATTGAGGTTGGACCAGAAAATCAAGTGATTGTCATAACGAGCATCTATAGATGCAATGGACCATTTCTCACCCTGTTCTTCATGGGGCAATATAAATGTAATTTCTCTATTGGTAATATAGACCACTTACATCTACACGTATACATCTACACAACATGTATTTATCAACATATCCCTTTTAAAATAGACGCATTACCACTAAAAAGATATATATATATACAAACATACTCTTTGTGTTATTGATTCAATATCTTTATGCTAATATATGTATACAAATTTATTAATACCATTTGTAATATAAAAATGTGAGGATATTTACATTTAACAGCTGGCATTTCTTCACTATCAAGCTTCATTACCTTAAATGTATCCACGGGAGTATAAACAAAGCGAAAAACCCTTTCTATAAATACATGCAAAGGCAAGTCAGGTGTTTACCTGAACAAAACACGGGAACATATGGCACAAGCGTATCAAGGTTCATTACCTGTACAAATGTCGCAACGGGAGTATAAACATATCACGTTTGTACTGAGGCACATCATTTTACTGTATTCACTGACGGAATTAATGTGACAGAAGTAATGTAGCAACCGGTTTTAACTAATTCATCATCACATTAAGAGCAGCATATTTGGTTGATATCCCCAGACTTCTTATGCTAGAATTCTGAACAAGGAAGCTGAATACTTCCTCGAACACCAGGAAGGACATACGCATTTACGTTATTTTGTTGGGAAGACACATTCACTACACTGACCACCACCAGTAACCATCAACCTACTAGCTCCCCGTGTAGCGTGTCCATAGCAACAGCTGTACCAGCTGACCGTATGTAAGGACATCCATCATTTCTGCGTTAAGAGGTTTATACTGAAGGTAATATTTAAAGGCATATGAAGCACGACACATGTAAGTATGGTTACAGCCCCTCCATCATCGGGTGCTCCTGCATGACACATACGTGCATGCGGACATGTTACATTTAAAGATGAAACGTCAACGCCAGATCATATGATTATCCGACGAAAGTGATTCCTTTAAACGTAAAAGAAAAGCAAGTCGTGAAAAGTATATGAAATTTCCTGAAATGAAATTAAAGAATGACATAAATGAAAAAAAGGAATGAAAAGAAATTAATTGTAATGAGTCAGTTTGGGTTCAACATTTTGACTTAACTGTTTACTGTTTGTTTCTGTTGTGCTTCCTTGGCTACTTCGTCTATTGATCCATTTATACATGGATCGAGACATATATCAAGAGCTATAGTCATGAAAGCCATTAGAGGAGTACGTGCATTTCCTTCAAAACAAGTAGTATATGGTGGCATTTCCTTCTAATGTAACGCTCGGCTTACTCTATGATCAGCAACAAAGCCAAACTCCTCTTACACTGATGCAATTATCTTTATCGAAGAACTCCAGACGGTTCGGATATGAGGCAACCACGTTCATGCTGCACGAAATGTTTGTACACGTGTCAGCATATTCTTTTCACCTAGTTGTAGAGGATGGGTCATGTTATTGTTGGACTACACCACAGAAAAGTGCAGGTGCTGGGTATGGATGTTTTGAATGGTGTGATAGGACGCGTGGGGTTTCTGAACAGGAAATTATTTCATATATTCTTGTCCAGTAATCATCTTGAAATGTGATGAAGGGTTAAAACACTTCCACACCATTACCCTGTTATCTCCATTGTTAGAAGTTAGGGTTGTGTGAATGATCCTCGCTTCAATATGAATGCATCCGAGATGCTGAGATCTCTATAAATATGAATCATTTCCATCAAAGGATGGCTTTAGAGGCCACTGTTATGTGTAACCTAGGCTTGTGTACTGGAGCATGTTTAGATGTAATTTCAGTGATACGGATGCACTGGCGTTTCATAATTATTCATTACATGTTTTGTCTGAAGCGCTTGCATTCGCATCAGAGACTCTAATCCCTGTGATGCAGACGTTTCGACAACATAACGGGACATCTCTAAAGAGGCTCACTAATTCACTGACAAAACATTCATTGTAAGATGCATTGACAAACATGCCGCTGCCCTGTGCATGACTGGGGATTGTCGTCTCAGAATGTTTTTTTGTGAACAACACCTTCTTTCTCTTGTGTCAGTGAGTGAGTTTCGTTTAACACCGTGTCCAACAGTATCCCAGCTATATCACGGCCTGTCAGCATTCGTGACCAACTCGTGTTATTCCGGGACAAGCCGAATAGCGACTCGTGCCCCTCTCATTGCCATTTTTGCGACCGGGCTCCGTCTAAGCGCAAACGGGCATACCTAAAACAATTGTCAACTCGTTGCGTAATGATTCACACATCTTTACCCATATATTATATATATTTTAGATGCAATTTAATGCACATCGGGACATGCGGAATTAAACAGTATGATTGAACACATTTAACTGTGTGTTGGGTATATTTTTAGATGCAAAACTTATGTAAAATCAAGAATTATTTCTGAGGGATTCTTTGACGAAGAACTTGAAATCATACGCGCATTCTGATTGGTTTGTCGTATTTTCGCACATAACATTCATCGATAGGGGGACGAGTCTTCTTGCAGATTACGGAAAGGGGCGAGTGGTGACGAATGGGCCTGTCAGCTTAATAATTGTCCGTTCCTTTATAAACGACTTTCGTAAAACTAGTTAGAACTGATGCAGGTCGATCTTAGACGGATACCACTGTAGTGAAACACACCAGCACGGGTATTGTGCTGATGGACTGATGACCCATATCATGATGAAACTTGGATTTGCCCAAGGATCTCAAATCGACACACCCAATCACGAGGTCCTAGACGACTTGGCCACTCCCGACCCCTTGATCTGTTAAACCATTCCACGACCATTTGTAGGTTTCAATCTTCATTCATGATACTGATGAGGTCAAAGGCCTTTAGTACGTAGTCGGGGATTTTTTACAAATTCATACACTTTCTTTGTATTATGACATGACAAATGAACATAGATCAATTTCTTATAGCTTCTGTACAATCATTAAGTAACAAGTAGTTACAATGTCTAATTTTCCAAATATGTTAATTTGGGATTGTGGAAGAAATAGTTATTGACACGTTTGCTTCTCATCATTATACACAGGGCGTACACGTAAAATAATGATATTCGTCTTCAGTAAACCGTTTTCACAAATTGTTCAAATGTCTAAGATCTCTTAAAATACCTACATAACTGCCTGTTTCAATAAATAAATCATGTGAGTTGCAAAGAAATCGAAAAAGATCGATTCTTAACTTAAGATGGTTTATTACTATATGTTTATATCAATTTGATATAAAAAATCAGAATTAATTACAAACTTTGTTTCTGTTAGTGATTTAACAAAAGTGACAAAACCATTTCAATAATCATAACAAATCTTTGTTTATAAATCTCTTTCAATTAGCGATGGTACCAGGTGTTCGTATACGGATATTGTCACGACGAGCATTGGCATTATTACCAGGGAGTTTTGTACTGCGGGAATCCGTTCTGAGAAAAACATGGCCTTATAACCAGGGTGGCATTATAACCAGGTGTCTTATAACCAGGGAGGACTGCAGTTAACATTTATGATATTCCCAGTTGAAAAGTATTCTCAGCTGAAATCAGAACGTGCTTTACTGAAATAAATATGCTGTTTGTGGATGTCATGGTGGAAGGATTCCCATAGCCTCGCTCCAAGACTGTACTGAATGATAAACCATGGTTGTGTAGTAAATCTATCCCTATAATTGGCAAGCCTAGATAAGCGGACAGTCTAAGGATGCTAATCTTTAATGTGGACAACGTGTTCCTATTATTCATATAATCTAGAAATTATGATTTAAACAAATAATTATTGCCTTAGAGACTTATGCAGTTCTAAGGACGCCAGTCTTTTATAGGGACAAGTTGTTCCTATTATTTATATAATCTAGAAATTATTATTTAAACTAATAATCATTGCCTAATCATTGTGTAAGACTAAGGTTCCCAGAAAATGCTTCCCATTTCCTTTAATGTGACAAACATACAGGTATAACACCGTCATATGAGTTAGTTGTATTATGATACAGGTAAGGCAAGAATCCTTACGACATATGCTTAATATACAGATAATGTTACATTCACGATTCCTCCAAATTGATGTTATTGTGTATCACAATGTACATTAATAGCAGAACGCACAAAGATG